CATTGATGAAGTACCATTCAATTCAATAAATAATTCTCGAAACAGATCTGGCTGGCAACAATGTTCATATTTTTTTAATTTTAATTTTTGCCACTAGTACTGCTGCGGTCGCAAAATCGGTAAAACAGGATGTGACACGAAAATGGTACGATTTTGCGGACCGTATTAGCCTTATTATATTGGCCGCAAAAATATATGGTGATGCAATGTCTATTTATATCCTCGTCTGTGACTATACTTGTATAAGTATTTTTATATATACACGATAACAATAAGAATATTCCAGTAAAGAAATTTTAATGAAAGAAAAATTTATTGTTATTTTAAATAACTCATAATGATATTGAATGTAGATAATATTAGAGGACCTGTAGATCATATATCTGATTTGGAAATAATAGGCAACTATAGTATTAATGGTGAGAGGGAATATTGTAGTGGTATAGAACAATTAAAATACTATAAAAAACCATTGAATAGTAGAAATGTTAATTTTAATCTTGACTTAAATGAAAATACAATACATAAGATAAATGAGGATGTTAAACTAAATTGTGTATTGACATGGATGCTTGAAAATTTTGATATCTTTAAAATACAAGATTCAAAGGATATAACACAATGGTTAGTTTTAGATTTGTTAATATTACAAAAAATCTTAATTTTAACAAAATGATTTGAATATAACCCCAAATTGTTAGGATATTACCTGAATTCGTTACATATAGAGGAACTTTAAAATCCTTATTAATTACTCCATATGAACGATATCAAGGTTGGATTATATGTGCTTCAAAATTCAAAGGCACAATATATTTATGTTGTTTTGACACAGAAGAAAAAAAGCTAATGGAATTAGTTAAAACTAATTATGAACAAAAGTGTGCAGATTGGGGCTATAAATTTGAGCAATATATGCTAGCAGGTAGAATAAAATCATAAACAAATGAATTATTATATATTCTAACTTTGGCCAGAAGCAATATAAAAATTTTCTTATATTTAATTTGAAGATACACCAGACAATGAGCCTAATACTTCTCAATGCCTGAACCAAAATGAAGAATTTTGCTGTGTATTTAAATCAAAATTTGGTAAAAATACTTTACTATATGCAGCTGAGATAGATGGAATTTGTTCTAAAAAGATTATAAAAGATACAATAGTAGGTAAAAAATGTGAATTAGTAGAATTAAAAACCATTCATCAACATTCTATTTCCAATTATGGACCACGAAGCAAGTTTAGAAATTTGTCATGGTGGGCACAGTGCTATCTAGCAGGGATAAAAAAGATTGTATGTGGTTGTAAAAATGACAAAGGTTTTGTTACAGAAATAAAAGAAGTGAAAACGAGTACATTTCATGCAAAAGTAATTAAAATAATTTTAATAATTTAACCATATGAATACATCTAAAATGTCTATTTTTTGTTTACCATAGGAGAAAGAGAAATGCAAAAGTTTTTGCAGTGGATTTTTAGAACAAGTGAAAACAATTGTTCGTGAAGATTATGACAAATGTTTATACAAATTTACATATAATCCAAAAAAAAGAATTATTACTGTTGACAAAATGAAACCTGATAATGAATCAGAATATATGTTTTTATATTTATGGTACACTGATAACATAAAGAAACAATACAAAAACAAAACATAAGTAACTTAGTAAGAGTAAATTAATTACTAAAATAACATTAATGCATAATTTTTATTGTTATTATTTTATTATTTTTTAAAATATTATATTTTGAATATATTTAGGAATTTTGACCTAAAATTTGTTTTATTGCTGACATTTCTTGGTAAGACATGGGTTGCAACATTAAACCTGAAACAGGTGGATTAAGTTCTAGATCTCTCAATTCATTTACTTTAACTTTTAAGTTACTTCTTAGCTTATTAATTTCAATGTCACATTCTCTTTGATCTGTAATATAATTAAAGATATAATTAATTATTACTTTAAACATTAAAACAAAAGAATGATTAATAAAAATACCTTTAACAAGTAGTTCTTCTGCAGTTTTGGATGGCATCTTCACCAATAATGACCCAATAGTTATCCAAATTTTCTCACAATTCTCTTTCTGCAGTGCCCTCATTCCAACTCTATCATTATTTCTTCTTTTATCCAAGGCAATTATTTCTTGTCGATCAGTGAGAATTTCATTAGCTTTTTCTTCTACTTGTTGTATATGTTCTAGAGCCTTTTGTTCATTAAATTTCATCTATAACAAAAATTATAATTAATTAATCAAATATCATTCTATATGGAGAAGTTTTTGTAGAAGTACAGTAAATATTATCATTAAAATTGAATTATAAACAAAGATAAAAAATTCACATACACATTTAAGATATATAAAAACCACAAATTATTTTGTATTCAGTCTTAGATGCATTATTAAATATTAATAGTTTATGAAATTCTTATATATTATTTTAAGACAAAGCAATGCGCAATGCTTTTTCTTTTCTAACTTCCCTGTTAAGTAATTTTTCCCTATCTTTTTTCTTTAAACATTTTTGTTTATGATCACTAACTGCTGTGGTATCTCCAGGTTTAAAATGAGTCACTCTATATTCTTTCTCATTAGACATTCCTATTCCTTTTCTATCAGATTTTAGGCAGGTTTTAATGGGGTATTTCATTCCTTTTCCTGTAGGACCAAGACCAACTTGTTCGTCCCATCCATAGTTTAAAAGCATTTGATAACCTTTATTTTGTTTTGATATTCCATACATTATATTTGTTAATTTTGGTTTACTATTAAAAATGTGAAGTGTGGATGTCTCGTGTTTTTTCCAAATTGTTTGATAAAAATTAACTTTGCAAATTTTACAATAAAATCCTGCTTCTTCATTGGAGCATTCTTTCCTATCATCATTACTTAAAAGCTCTTGTCTCATCTGTAATGAAACATCGACATTTGTCTCTGAAATATTTGTAACTGTTTCTGTTGTTTTGTTAGATATAGGTTCTTTTTTCTTCAGCAATGCAACTATATTCAAATAATTTTTTTTCAATGCTAATTGCGCTGCAGTAAGACCAGATCTTTCTCTAGCTTTCCTATTGGCACCAAGATTTAATAAAAATTCTATAACATCTAAATGACCACAATATGCAGCCGACATGAGAGGAGTCCAACCAAAATCATCAGTTAAATTAACATTCTCCCAAGTCACATACTTTGATAAATATTTCAAGTCTTTTTGTTCCACTGCTTTTAATATAGTATTAATTGTCACTTTTTCCGTGGGAGTCTGATTGTTTTTGGTCCTTTCATTTGACGAAACACTTTGATAATTGAATCTTTTTGCTTTGTAATACCTGTGTTCAGGCTGAAACGCCACATCGCTCTTTTCGTTTATAATTTCTTCGTATGCCTTTCTTGCTTCATCTTTCTGAAAATCTAGGCAATTATCTTTCTTTTGTGTAGATACTGTTGGGACATCGCAAGATTCTTGGACAAATGTTTTCCACGTAACGTCGATGTTATGAGAGAAGAAGTTTTGTTTTAACATTTCACAGTTACATTTAATTTATGTTATGTATTAACATTTTATGGATGTATTTAATGAATGACAACAGTGAAAGATATGAAATAAGTTACAATTACTAGTTTTTTCAATAGAACAGTTACCTTTATAACAATGTAATTTCATCTGCAATTCTACTGCTTTATAATACTATGTAATAGTCATTGACTAAAGACAAAATAGATGTGACATTATATTTGTATCTCACGAATTGTATTTGTATAAATCTTCTATCAGATGCTAGTGCTATATTTTTTTTAACTTATAAAATTATCATACATTTCATTTCATACCTTATACGTGCATAAAGATTATAAATTAGTTTACTATAATCATTGACTAACTAGGATAGACCAGACAGCCAATGCTTTTTCGTGTCCCATGTTTTGGAATCAATCTGGCCTCTGTCACAGGCGAGGTATATGAATATACGAATATTAAGTGAAAAGCGCTAAAAAATCAGTGATTTTTTTTGCTGGTTGGTATTTCAGACTCTAAGATACGAAGTCCCATTTCATGTCTGGTCATTCCATTTTTAGTCAATGGTATAATGTAAATCATACATGAGTCTATTGTATCGCTAGGTGGCGCTAATGTTTCAATGTTCCATCAAATTTTCATTTGTAAAAAGAAAAAAACTAATTGAGAAGATTAATTTGTGAACTAAGCTTTTTTCCTTAATTCCATTTAACATGTTAAATGTGCACATAAGTTTACAAATTCTATAAAATAAATCGAAGCATTACTTCATTAAATATAGATTTATAATTTCTGATATGAACGATGGCTAATAACTAGCTAACAATTTAATAAATCTTCTAACTACATATATATTAGATGAATTATGAAATATAAAATTCATTTTTTACATGAGAAGTAGTATAAGGATTTATTACTCTAATTAGTTATGTGCATTAGGCATTTCATTAAACTTTTCTTCACAAGAAATTAGATCTATGTTATATTTTGTCTATGTTAAAAGTTATATGATCGCAGCCACATGGTCGTCTAATGGTATGACGAACTACGTACGTAAGATTACATAGTCGTACAAATAATTAATTTTTATAAATGTAAGAGTATCACGTAATGATTAAAAAAGAATGGCTTTGCAGAATTTCACGAAAATATTGATTGGATGGTAGGTATGTGATGTAAAATACTGTTGTTTTGTCCTATTAAGTCCTATTAACTTGGTTAATTTTTTATTTAGAAATTCGTGAAATAATAATTTTTGAAGTGTCTAACATTATTATTGTTATTATTATAATACATTACAATTGGTTTGAACAATACATCTTTTGCAGGTCTATAGCAGCTGTTATAGGGGTATATGCTTTTACATATTCGAGAAAAGCTATAAATGAAAAAAGATATGAAATTCTAAAAAAGAAGCAACAAGCATAGAATTTTAACTGAGTTATTTGTTTATGCATTTAAAATATAAATAAAAAGAAGTAGTTGATTAAAAAATGGCTGGATTACCTCAGTTTAGTGAAGAGCAATTGAAGTTAGTACAGGATATAGAAATAGAAATGATGACTGATATGTTTCATCGTATGACAGCAGCATGTCACAAGAAATGTATTCCACCAAAATATTCCACTTCAGAATTAAGTAAAGGTGAATCAGTATGTCTTGATCGGTGCATCGCTAAATATTTAGATGTACAAGAGCGTATTGGTAAAAAGCTTCAACAAATTTCTTTGCAAGAAGGCAAAATTGTAGAACAACCAAAATTAAGTTGAATAAAATGAGATATTCACTTGTTAAGAGAAATATTGGTAGAAATTCTATTTGTCTGTGCGTAATAGTTTTCTCTTTAGGAGATTTCTAACTTTTTTAAAGAACATAATTTAATTGTATTCATCGAAACGTTAATTTTTCTGTAATTTCTGTAAAATAAATTGTAATAATAATTTTATTCTATAATTGTACAATGTGATTAATGTATGTATGATTGGTAAATTATTTGATATTTAAAAATGTCTAAACTTAAATAATTATGACTTAAAAACTTGAAATAACGATAACTTAAAATATTCAATTTCAATTTCATTGTAGTTTTGTTTTTAAAAGAGGAATTTTCAATAACATCATAATTCAGAAGTAGAAAAATGTTTATTTCATCGTAATACATAATCAAGTAAAAAAAAAATAATGCAATCAAAAAATCAGTCGATATATTAATCATTATGAACAAAATGATATTTTTGGTAGCACGAAAAATTATGTACAAATTTAAATATATATTCATATCCAATTATTCGCAATAATCGATGTAATAGCACGGTATATTTTACCGTGAAAAGTGTTTTCGTATTTTCTCCTTCACTGCAATTTTCGTTTAAGGAGAATGAAAATTTTTTCTTCTTTCGTTGTCCAAGTTATTATCACATACGCGTATGAAACACTTCAGTTTTCAATTTAATTTAATTTATTGTTAACCAGCGGTTTTTTCTTTCATAGGGTGAATTGTTCCTAACGCTAGTGTATGTTGACCTCCGCCTGCAACTCGTACTATTGTTTTTCCTTCCAATTGCTTTCCTTTGACTAATGTAGGTACTTCAACATCTTCTTCTTCTCCTGTACCTAGCTGGCCACTTGAACCCATACCCCATGAATATAAATCTCCTGTAAACAAATACGATCATGTCATAAGATGTATTTAACAAGATAATATTGGTAAACAAGAACCTACCTAATTCAGTAACAGCAAAAGATTGCGCACTGCCTGCTGCGATGTCAACACACTTAAAGGAATTTAAACTAGAAACTAGTGTTAATTCTTTTGCGTCAAAACAATTAGATCCAAGTCCAAGACGACCATATTCTTTACGGCCCATAACATATACTTGACCAGAATCATCTAAAGCAATTGTGTGATGTTGCCCACTACTAATGTGTCTCCATACCTTTCCACTAAAGGTTTTTGAAATTTGTGGGTGAAAATGAGTAACAGGATCTTTTAAACCTATAATTGTTACACAATATTTAATTATTGTCTGAATTTTATAAGTAAGGATTAAATTTACTTATTAAGTATTCCCATTTATTAATAGTTTGACCAAACTTACCAATTTGATAATAATTATTTAATCCAAATACATATATATCTCCTTTCTGATATTCTTTAGCAAATGTACAATATGTTCCAGCCCAAATGTCATCAAATTCTAGTTTTTTGGTAACTTTAAATTCAACTAAACCAGGAGTTAATAATGGGCTCATACCATGACGAGTATTTCTACTGGCTGCTCTAGCAGCTACTCGTCCTAGTTGACCTTGTTCTCCACATCCACAGGTGTAGATATGACCATTTTTATCAAGCAATACTAAATGATCAGCACCAGATGCTATTTTAACTATCTTTACATTAGGCAATATTTCTATTGGAAACCGTTCATTTCCTTTTAAAGTCAGACCCATAGTACCATGAGAATCCTTAAAGGAATAATATAATTTCTTATCAATTATTTCAAACTGATAAATTGATATTTAAAACGGAAGAGAATTATACCCTAAAAGAGCCCCATGCAAATACTTGTCCATCTTCTAATAAAGCAGCACTGTGAGAATCCCCAGCTGTCACCTGAATGGCTTTGCCAGGTAAATCAACGGAACCTGGTTCAGTTTCAGAACCGTCTTTAGACGTATCTCGTCCCAATGCTCCTTCGTCATTGCATCCAAATGTTAATACACCTCCAGTTTGTCTTAGGCACACATTGTGCATACCACCAGCTGCTATAGCTATAATATCTTGATATCCAGGAACAATTGCTGGACGTGTTTTTTCAATAATTTCTTCTCCTAAACCAAGCTGTCCAACATCGCCTTGTCCAAATACTAATAATACGCCGCCAATCGCTGATTGTCGTAAATCAGGTTTCACAACCAATTCTGTGAAATGCATGCAAATGTCTAGCTATTTTACGGTACGTAGGTTTAGCGAAATACAATTATATTTGTGCCAATCCACGTTGTGCCGGTCACGTAATATTCGCGGCACTATAACAGAAAAGTTATCACGACGGTTCCACGATACTTTTTAGAGGATACTAGCATACTTCCAACTACGAACTACAAACGGAGCAATAATTATCGATCGTGAAACACATTGCTTTGAACACATCCATGTGCCTCGCGGTTTTACTTTACTTTTCATATAATTTCTCTGTACCGATAAATCTTCTAACGTTTAAAATACAGTCGTAGGAATGTTAGTCAATATCGACGAGATAACAATTTACCTTGTTTCTTCTTTATCTGTTTCGGATCCCGGCTTTTTGCAGCAGTTTGAGCTGGTCGTTTTGTTGCTTTCCTTGGCGGCACTAGAAGTATACCAAGGTTATGTTTACAAATGCACGTGTAAAACTATTTTCATGACTGTCACATACGGATAAACAGTTAATATTAATATTGTTATTCATATACGTACTAATTTCGCGGAGTAATTATTTCAGAAATGGAATATATAGCGCCTTATAGTCAATTGGCGCCAAAAGTTACAATGCTGCTCAACTCACGGCTGTTGCGCAACTCACCAGAGGCGCTAACGTCTGAAATTTTTTTTTTTCGTAACACACGAAAACTCGTCACGTTGATATCTTTGGCTGATTTTCAACTTGGATCTCACTTTCGATACCGTAAAGCTCGATCTTTACGGTATTTTATCCTCCGGAAATTGTAACGGAAATTTTATCCCTCCGTCCTTTTTTTGAATAGACGGCACCGCACGCATGGAAATTTGATTTCGATCCGGTTTATTTGAATCCAGTTAACCGTATACATTGCAACAAGTATTCGCTAGCAAGAATCGATCATCAATAGAAATCGATTGTTTCGTAGTCGTTTGTGCACGCGTATATCGTGCATCTCCGCGTTTCAGTTAGTTTTTCGTACTTCTAGTGATGATTTCAAGTCAAACTTGTAATGCGACAGATGACAAGCATATATGTATAAACAGGTAAATACTTGAAGTATCTGTTTCTATATCTATTCAATTTCTTTTTTTCTATTCAAAAGAAACGAAAGAGTCAATCACGACGCAGTTTCTTTAATTAATCGTAAATTTATCCAAATCAAAGATCCGAATAATTTCTAATTATGGTTATATCGTACCATTTCCATATCATCTGTTCTTCGTTTTACTGCTAGTAATAAATACGAGGGGAATTACCATCGAATGTGAGAATCAAAGTGAAGGTGTCAACGAAAGAACATCGAAACGAAACTTGAGTTGCACGACGACACATTCAGGGAATATATCGTAGAGAAAAAAAAAAAGAAAGCATGAAATAAGTCGCATATTCGGAATGGATTATTTGCGCGTTCGCAAAGAACGAGGCCCCTTCGATCATTCGGCGCGATAAATTTACGGTTTTCTTAGCAAGAGAATTCTCTGGCGCGCGATCGCGATTCGCGGTAAAATCGCGAATTTCGGAAGAAAAGAGAAGGGGATTGTTATCTCCCGGATAAAGATACGCATCGAAAAGAATCGACGAGAGTGGGAATCAAACGGGGCGAAAGAGGGAAAGAGAAGAGGGGTTAGGTTTGAACCAGAGGGGGCTGGCCGGTTATCAGAGGGGTCAGATACGCTGGTGCGCGCCAGTCGAAGCCGAGACTTGGTCCGCGCAACTTCTCGTCGACTTCTCTCTGTCGAACGGTCTTCCCCGTTCGAACATTTTCTTCGACTCGTCGATTTATCGTGCTCCTCGTTCGTATTCCGTTCTCTTTCCTCTTCTTCTTTTTTTTTTATTTGTCTAACATCCTAGGAAAAGAAAAGAAAAAAAAAAAACGATTTGCACGACTGCTTGCACGTTTACTGGATCACGATCGAACGAACTTTTCGAAATTGCCGAGTTTGTGTTTACTTTTTTATTTATCGTTTTAAAAGGACGAACAGTTTGGACAACAGTTCGAGGAATTTTGCATGGTGAGAGAAGCAGTTCATGTAGAGAAATCAAGAGTCATGACGAAAGTGCGCCAATACAGATTTCTCCCGCTTCTCGTGCACATCCTGCTCGGCGGTGAGTTTGAAAAGATTTCTAATATGATGTCATGATGTTTCTTTCTTCCTTTTTTTCTTTGTTCTTTCAAACGAGAACAAAATTTTCGACGAAACGAATTAATTGCGATGGACGAACAATTACAAATTATCGCATATGCCGCAACGAAATCTCATGCACGTCGATGCAACGCGTTCGTCGAATATTTATCGTACCGTTCGATGCGAGATGTGCAGTTCGCAAGCGCGCGAATTTGGAAGTTTCCGCCGTTTGGAGTTCAGCGTGTCGATCGTCCAGCTCGTAAGACTTGTTGAGTCGCTCCTTAAATCTTCCGCGTGAAACTGCGCTCGCACGCGAACAAACTTATCTCGTTCGATACGATCCGCTTGGGGATCGCCTCTTAATCGAACAGATCTAATGGGACACGCATGGAAATCCTGCGTGCATTCTCTCAATTCAACTAAACAGTTCCCTGAAAGCCGCGCGTCGTTTTACCAAACGCGTGCACGTGCTTCTCGCAAGTGCAATATACCATCGTCGGAAGAAGAGCGAAGAATTTAATTCGACGTGCGCTTATACTATTCTTACACTTTCCAAATCTCCGAGTTGCTACATTGGAGATCTTTTGTTTCTTCTATCCAATCACCGACAACGATATCGACCATTTTCTAGGATCCTCAAGCTCGTATGCGTGTGTTTCTCGTCCCGTGTTTATCTTCGCTTTCTTCTCTTGCCTTGACTTTTTTTTTATTCTTCCCTTTCCTCGTGTGTCCGTTCGAAGAGAAGTCCAAGGAGTAATTACGAAAGAAAGAACGAATAAACACGCGGCGCAATACGGTATATCACGCCCGGGCGAGAACGGGGCGGTGATTATTAAGTTTCGTTCCGTGGTACGTGACGCGAAATTCAACGTGGCAATGGGGAAACACGCCTGTAAAAGGTAAACGAAAATCCAGGAAACGCCGTAGTCGCGCGTACAAATATATCGGGGCTGGAGGGGTGGGCTGGGCAAGGCGAATGGGCAATCGGTCTCTGAAAGCGCGAACAAAGGGACCAAGCGAACGGGGAAACAAAGGGGGGAAAAAAATAAATCCGCAACCCAGTTTTCTCGTTATCAATCATCCTGCCGATATTTCGAGAGTACGAACACCGTCGTGTTGGGAAAATCCACAGGATGAACGGCCACGGATGAGGCAACGTTTCCGGGAATTCGATAATCGTCAGGAGGACGAGGAAGCTTCGCCGGGGTGAGCCGGGTTTCCGCTTGTTTCGCCAAAACTCTGTTTTGCCGAGAATTCGTCCCCGCGTTAACGAAACTTGGAATACTGCGATCCGCAAACGGAAGTTCATTCGAAACGTTATTTGGAACGAAGTTATCTTAATCGGGTCGACTCGACATTTCTTTGTCAAAAAAAACATCGTACACTCCTTGATCTTTATCGTTGATCAATGCCGGTGTCGACTGGTTCTACGAGCAAATCACCGGTCGAAATGTCTTTTTATTTGTCGAGGGAATTGAGTCATCTTTCAAAGACATCGCTTGTATGTTTATTCAACGACGAGAATAAGAGTTATTCGGCAAAAATAACAACAGGCAGATGCACACGATTCGACGAGCGCAAGATCGCGGGCTTAATTGATATCGAGGGCGCAGTTCGCGGTTTAGAATCGGGATTGCTCGTTTGAAAAAGGGAGAGGACGTTCCTTCTAAAAAGAAAGGGCAAAGCGGAAGGAAAGGGGACATTTAGAAGAAGGTGGGAGCAGAGGACATCCACAGCTGTGGAAGGAATAGCGATCAGCTATTTCCACCTCGAGAACTTGCTGAATATGCATGAAACAATCGCATATATCATGCAATTAGCCGAGGCAAATCTTTTTCCCTTCTTCCGCTCTTTCTCTCTTTCTTGCTCTTGCTTCTTTCCAACCTGTTCCCTGTCTCTCTCTCTCTCTCTCTCTCTCTCTTTCTCTACCTATCTATCTATCTCTTTATTGCGTTCGTTCGTTCGTTCGGTTTTGTCCGAACGAAAGAGCCGAAAGCCGTATTCAAATCGCATTTTGAACGGCGTTGATAGCTTCTCCCTTCTGTTTGCCAAATTTTCCTCTCTCCCTTTTTTCACCGTGTTTTTCCTTCGGCTCCGAGGATCGTTGTTTGCGCAAACTTCTTCGCCGCTGGCCGGTTGATTTTTCCATGTGGAACGACGCGAAAGTTCTAGGTTCGTGGATCGGAGAAACGATGAACAGCGTCACGGGAAGGCTCGGTGTCGTTTAAACATTAACCAGCTCGAGGCGTGCTTTAATGTCTTTCGATAAGAGGA